GGAGGGGACCAGAGGCGGGAAAAGGGGGTCAAGCAGTCGCCAAGCGTCCTGGCTCGCCTATAGGTCTACCAAAACATGTTCTAAGAACCTTTTGTGGTTTGCACGAAATGTTCTCGTAACAGTTCTGGTCGAGACTGTCTTGTTTTAACACGTCGGGTGAATGTTCTAAGAACATTGTTGTCGTTCTTCGAACATTTTTGGGTTCTAAGAGCAGTTCGTTGTAGGACTATAGGAATGCCGGGACGGTCGGTCCCTGCTCAAGGGCGGGGGGTACTAGGCAGGCAGGGGGCAGAGGGACGGGAGGGATAGAGGCAGATACAGTGGAACCCCGTGCCAAGAAACACCCTGCTTGCCTCCAGGGTGCCCTGAGTTTCTTGGGTTTCGATGGTTTTGCTGTGGAAAGCGCGACGTTCCCACACACACCAAGAATCCATGGACGACGTTGGGTCTCAGGGTTGGGTTTGTTTTATTTTTTTTGTGGACTGGCCTCCACTGTAAGGAAGGGAAGGCGACGCACGAGCGAGGAGAGCACCAGCGCACGAGATCAGGAAAGCGTTGCACCCAAAAAGTTGCCAAAGGGGGAGCATCTCGCCACTCCCTCCTTCCCTTCTTTCTTGCCCCCCTCTCCCGCCTCAGCCGCACCCGCCATCTCCTCTGTCTCTCTAGCTCCCTCTCTTTCGCTCTCTCTCTCTCTCACTCTCTCTCTCTCTCTCGTTTCTCTATCTGTTTGTCCCACCCCTCCTATGTGTTGGGTCCTCGTTTTGGAAAGACAGCGCCCTGCGTCCTCCTCGTTCTTCCTCCTCCCCCTCCTCACTCCTCCCATTCCTGCCTCTGCTCTCTCGCATGCCCATCTCGGCACACCCCTCACACGGTTCGTGGCCCCATAGGGAGCTCCACCGAAGGCCCCAGAGGCAGCGTCCGCATGCGCCCATCCCGCCCACCGCATGCCCACGTCGGCACACCCCTCACACGGTTCGTGGCCCCATAGGGAGCTCCACCGAAGGCCCCAGAGGCAGCGTCCGCATGCGCCCATCCCGCCCACCGCATGCCCACGTCGGCACACCCCTCACACGGTTCGTGGCCCCATAGGGAGCTCCACCAGTGACAGCGTCCGCATGCGCCCACCCCGCCCACCGCATGCCCATTTCGGCACAGACACACACACACACCCCTCACACGGCTCGTGGCCCCATAGGGAGCTCCACCGAAGGCCCCAGTGGTAGCGTCCGCATGCGCCCACCCCGCCCGCCGAATGACCGCGTCGGCACAACATCGTACAAGCTTCGTGGCCCCATAGGGAGCTCCACCGGAGGCCCCATGGGCAGCGTCCGCATGAACCCACCCCGCTTACCGCATGTCCACGCCGGCGCACCCCTCACACGGTTCGTGACCCAGGAGCTCCACCGAAGGTCCCAGAGGCAGCGTCTGCATGCGCCCACCCCTTCTCACATGCCCATTTCGGCACACACACACACACCTCTCACGGTCCGTGGCCCAGCAAGGAGCATCTCCCCGCTCAACGCATGTCCATGTCGGCACACCTTTCCCACGCTTTCGTGGCGCCGCAGGGGGCCACACCTAGGCCCCTGTGGCAGGGTTCGCATGCGGCCCCGCCCACCGCATGTCCATACATGCATCGTGGCCCCATAGGGAGCTCCACCGAAGGCCCCAGTGCAGGGTTCGCACGTGCCCTCCCCGCCCGCCGCATGTTCATGTCGGGCCGCCCCTCACGCGGTTCGTGGCACCATATGGGCCGCCCTTTTCTTCGTCTCAGTTGCCTCGCTGTGCTCGCACCTGCAAATGGTTGGGTTCTTCGCCAGGATAATTGCGTGTTTGTGTTTTCTCTCTCTCTCTCTCTCTGTTGTTTCTACCTCTCTCTCTCTCTCGTTGTCTCTATCTCTCACTCTTTCTCCTTTCTCTCTCTCTCTCTCTCTTTCGCTCTCTATCTGTCCTTTGTCTGTCTCTCTCTCTATCTCTTTTCCTCTCTCTCTCTCTCTTTCTCTCTCCACCCTTCCATATACTCTTAGTATTCTACATCCTGCATGGACGAATCCCCCCCGATGGCCGCCCCCCCCCTGCCTCCTGGACGGTGCTCCCCAGCCCCAAGGCACCTGCTGGAAGAGCTCCCAGACAGCCGAAAACGCCCCCCAACACCCAAAAGGCCCCCAAGCTGGCCCCAGAGGCTTTCAAGGCGCCCGCAGATACTTCCAAGATGGCCCAGGAGCGCTCCAAGAGGGCCCAAGACGGCTTCTAGACTTGTAGGCGGCAACAGAGGCCCCTAAGACGGCCCAAGAAGCCCCCCCCAAAGCCCCCAAGAGGCAATCATTTTCAAATTCTCGTTGGAAAGCATACAGTCGGCCCGGATTAGTAGGTCGACCCTGCCAGCGCAAGGGTACCCTTGTGTCCTGTGCCTCGCGGCACGTGCTTCCTCACACTCATATGGCGATGTGGCCTTCTGAAGGGTCTTGTGTCCTCTCGCGTGTCCTCTCCAATCAAGTCCGACTGTACATCTGTAGCACATTCGCTTCTTCGTCCAGCCCAACCCAGGAAGCTCCCACGATCGCCCCAAGACGGCCCACGAGGCCCCCCAAGAGGGCCCCAGGGCGGCCCAAGCTCCATCCCCCCCCCGCCCGTTCGGATGCAACTCCTGGGCGGTCAGATTCCGATCTTGCCCTGGTCCGAAGTCCGGCTAGATCCGGCTTAATCCCCACTAATCCAGTTCAATCCCGCCTAATCCCGTTTAATCCCGCTGAATCCGAAACCCACTCTGGCGCAGCAGCCCCGCAATTTGGCTTAATCCTCCTTAATCTTTCCGACGAAGACCTCCCAGCAGGTGCTTCCCCCCCCGCCCGTGTGTGCTCGCAGACGCGGGGCCGACGCCCCAGCTGCCGCGTGGGACCGTCGCCCGCGTGCGGGCGGAATTGCCTATAAGCAGCGCCCCCCGTCGCGGGGGGGCGACCACACAAGCGACGCCTTCAGCTCGTCGGCACCGTGGCATCGCTCGGACGTGTGCATTTCTCCTTCGGCGAGGACCATCGAGGAGCATCCTTGATCATGTGGCGAACAACCACGCACGAAACCGAAACAAAAACACAGGTAATGGACGTCCGAGCGATGGCCATGGGACCGGTTTCTCGCCCCGAGGTGTTTCTGATTGTCCCGGGGCCCGGCGAGGGCCCCGGGAGGCTGAACACTGAGAGCGGGTTCCGCCTTGATTCTTTTTGTCCGTGCGTGGGAGGGGGCGGAGCAGCAGCAGCAGCAGCAGCAGCAGCAGCAGCAGCAGCAGCAGCAGCAGCAGCAGCAGCAGCCTCCTCTTCCACCTCCACCTCCTCCTCCTCCTCCTCCTCCTCCTCCTCCTCCTCCCCCTCTTCCTCCTCCGCCTCCTCCTCCGTGCCTCCTCCATGGCGGCAGCGGCGCACAGCGAGAGGGGCGCGGCCACCCCGCTGAGACCCACGCCGGCCCAGGCGCTCGCCGTCCTCCTCGCGGGACCCGTCGCCCGCGCCGAGGCGGCCCTGGTCGAGCGGCGCTTCCAGGAGGCTGGACGCCGAGGGCCTCTCGGGGGCGACGTCGGGGGGGATTCCTCCTCCTCCTCCTCGTGTTCTTCCTTCTCCTCGTCTTCCTCCTCCTCCTTCTCCTCCTCCCCTTCCTCCTCTTCCTCCTCTTCCTCTCCTCTTCCTCCTTCTCCTCCTCATCCTTCTCCTCCTCCGCCTCCCCTTCCCCCTGCTCCCCCTTCACCTCCTCCGCCTCCTCCTCCTCCTCCGCTTCCTCTTCCTCCCCCTCCTGCTCGAGCACATGGGGGGACGACTTTCTCGGAATCGAGGTTCGAGGCTTTCGGTCGTTTTCGTCGGTTCTCGTCGGTGTTTCAGCCTCGGGATATCTTCCAGCGGCTGCGCCTCGCCGAGGGCGTTCCGGGGATGCCGCCGCAGACCCAAATTGTGACCCGAACACAAAGCGATGAGGGCACTGGTCGGACAGGCTCATGCAAGGGGGGATGCGTCGACTTGCCCATTGATCGCCGACAGGGCGACAGGGGCCCGATAGCCCGCCCCGCCAAGGACCGTGCCGACTCGCTGTCGGGCAGCCGCTCGCCGATGCATCGGCGCAGTGTACCCGATTCTAGCTCGCGATGGTCTCCCCACCTAGCCAGTCCCCCCATGATGTTCAATCAACACTCCTGGCGATAGCTTGCGCGTAGCCTAGGCCTGCAGGTCGTCGCACAGCCTGCCTTTTAGGCCCATTGGAGGTCTATGCGCAGCCTACCTAAAGGCCCATGATTGTCCTAGAGGTAGCCTAAAGGCGGGCCCTGTGTAGGCCTATAGGAACTCAGGGAAGCTGTGCATCGACCTATTATCTCATGTGCCAGAGGCTTCAGTACAGTTTGTGCACAGGGCTAGTATGGGCCCACGTATCCTTTCACAGGGCGTCTTGGCCCATGCGTCCGAGGGCCTGCTGTAGCCTACGCACCGGCGTACAATTGATTTTTGCGCAGTCAGTGGACAGGCCCCGCAATAGGCCTTTGCACACCCCGCGCATACACTTACCATAGGCTTGTGCATTGGCTATGCACTGGCCTGTGGTAGGCTACTGCTGGGTTTCTGGAGGTGCCAACGCTCCGCGATAAGCTTATGCACAGCTTTCGCAAAGACGTGCCACATGGCTGTGCACAGGCCGTGCACAAGTCTGAAAGGCCGATGGTGGGCCTACAGGGAGACTGGCGTTCCGCCACAGGCCCATGCACAGCCTGCGCAGAGATCTGCCATAGTCCTGTGCGTAGTCTACGCACAGGCCTGTGGTAGGCCGTGCGGGACTTCTGGAGGTGCCAGCGTTCCGCGATAGGCCTACACACAGCCTGCGCTTGGGCCTACCATAGGCTTGTGCATACTGCGCCGATCCGAAAGTTTCCCCAATTTCGCCACCGTGCCGGCCGCGGCCATCTGGGGTGGCGCGCGCGGGACAAGACTCGCGGGGCCCGAGGGCGGATGGTGGCGATGTCGCGAGGGTAGAGTCGGCGCGCCGATGGGCAGCCCAGCGCCCCGTTTGGCCGGAGGGGCCCAGTACAATGCAAGGGCAGAGCCTAACCCCCGCCCGGGGTCGCGGGAACGGGTTCCCCTTCCCAAATTAAAATTTCAAATCCCTAGCGGTGTACTGACTCGAAAATAAGCAAACGCCATAGGACCTCCTCGAAAGAAGCTTTCGGGTTCGGTCATGCGCCGACCTGAAAAGTTTATCGGCCGACCTGAAAGTTGCCAAATCCCATAGGACTTGTGTCCCAATCAAAATTCGGGTCTGGTTCGAACGACCCGAAAATGCGCAAACCGCCTAGGACTCCTTGCAAAAACATCGTTCTCGAGGTCTTGGGGCCCGCTCCGAAGAAACCGAGCATGGGCAAACCGCGTAAAACTTCCATCAACAAATAATGGTCCGGTGGTTCCGGGCCTCGTCCTAAGGAGCCGCCGATGGGCAGACCGCTCAGGATTTCCTGTGCAAGAGACTGTGTCCCGGGTGAGCCATTGTCAACGGGAACGCGCCCCGCGCGGGATCGGGGTTCTCGCGGGGGCGCGGCTGCTCTCGCGCGCCCAGGGGGCATGCATTGTCGCGCCTTTTTCCAGCATTGCGTTTGCGCTGCATTCGCGCGGCGCCGTGCGCTTCAAATCGGAATCAACTTTCGGAGGGACGCCGATGTAGGCTACGCACAGGTATGTGGGAAGCTTCTGGTGAGCTTCTGGAGGGGCCAACGCTCCGCCCTAGGCCTATGCACAGCCTGCGCATAGGCCTACCACAGGCCTTTGCACATTCTGCGCAAAATCCTGTGATACTCCTTTGGAGGACCTATGAGGAGGCTGGCGTCCCTCGATAGGCTTATGCACAGCATGCGCATAGACCTACAGGCCTGTGCACAAGCTGTGCACAGGTGTGTCGTAGGCGTCTGGTGGGCCTATGGAGGGGCCGGTGCTCCGCGATAGTCCGGTGTACAATTTTCGTATAGACCTACCGTAGCCCCCTGCGTAGGGTGTACACAGGTCAGGTGTAGGCTTCTTGTGGAGCTATGGGGGGGGACGGCGCTCCGCCTTAGATTTCTGCATTGCCAGCGCATAGACTTACCCCACGCCTACGTACAGGCTGCGCACAGGCCTGTGATAGGCCTCTGGAAAGCCTATGAGGATGCTTGCGCCCCGCGATCAGCTCGTGCACAGCCTTCGCATAGGCCTCATACAGGCGAATGCAAAAGCTGTACACAGGTGTGTGGTAGGTCGATGGTGGGCCTATGGAGGGGCTGGCGCTCCGCGATAGTCCTGTGCACAGCCTGCGCATAGACCTACCATAGCCCTGTACGCAGGCTGTGCAGACTTCGGTGATAGGTCTCATGTGCACCTATGGAGTTGACGGCGCTCCGCGATAGGCCTATGCACAGCCAGGGCGGAAACCTACCACTGACCTGTGCACAGGCTACGCACAGGCCTGTGGTGGCTCCGTGGGGTGCGTATGAAGAGGCTGGCCCCCCGCGATAGTCCTACGCACAGCCTGCGCATAGGCCTCCTTCCTACAGGCCTGTGTGTAGACTACGCACAGGCCTGTGGGAAGCGCCCGGCTTGCCCAGGGAGAGTCTGGGGCCCTTCGATCGGCCTATGCACATGGTGCGCATGACCTACCGTAGGCGTGCGCATAGGCTGTGCACAGGCCTGCGGTGGTCCCCCAGTATGTAAACCTATAGTGAGGCCGGCGCCCCGCGATAGGCTCATGCACAGCCTGCGCACAGGCCTGCCAGATGCCTGTCATGGCCCTGTGCTTCGCATAGCTAAATGTTTATGCGCAGACCGATGCGTAGGCTACCTACTGGCCTTTAATAGGCCTAGCGATAAGCTCTTGCAGGCCTGCCAGCTCATACGCCGTAGACCCTGCCATGCCTTGTGCATATGCCTACACTAGGTCAGTGCACAGGCTACGCACAGCGGATTGTTATCCACCAGCGCTGCCGCCCATTCAGGCCTGAGCGTGCGGCCCAGGCCTTGGCGGCCGTGTCCTCCCACTCGTCCCCCCGGCTCTCCCTCCTCACTGCTCCTCGGCTGGATCCGTGCGATGAGGCTGCCGTGTCGCGCCCGTGAGGCTCGATGGGGCTCAAGGCTCCCCCGCCACCGCTGCGTTGGTCCCCCCCTTCAGCGTTGCCGTTCAGGGCCGCGGCAAGCCGCCCTTCGCGCTCGTCGTCGCCGTCGTTGCCCTCGGTCGGTCGGTCGGTCAGTCGGTCGTCGTCGTCGACGTCGGGATTGTTGTCTTCTTCGTGGTCGTCGGCCGTCGCCTGGCGTCGGGCGTCGCCGCCGTCCTTGGGCGTCGCCGCTCCCAGATCTCTGGCGGTGCGATTTTTCCGGCCCGCGTTTTTCTCTCGATTTGGGCCCTCCTCTTCCTCCTCCTCTTCCTCCTCTTCCTCCTCTTCTTCCTCCTCCTCTTCCACTCCTTCTTCTCTTCTCGGGGGCCGTAGGTCCTCCTCCTCCCCCTCCTCCGCCCCCTCCTCCTCCTCCTTCTCCTCCTCCTTCTCCTCCTCCTCCTCCTCCTCGGTCAGACCACCGCGCGCCGCCTGGCAGCTCTCCACCAGGCTCCCCCGTCTTCTGGATCGCACGCTTGCTGCCGTGCCTGCTAGTCCCAGCAGTGTGGCCCCCGATCTTTCTCGAAGAACAACAAAAACACATATACATGAACTTTTGGCGCCCTGCGCGGATTTCTAGGATCCGCGCTGGGCCCCCCTGGCGGCGCCTCCTGGCGCGCTCCGCGCGCCAGTGAGGGGGCTCTGGCGCGGATCCAAGAAATCCGCGATGAGCGCCAAAAGTCTATGTTTATGTTTTGTTCTCCTATTCTGCTTTCGGCCAGGTTGCCCTGGCACACAAGTCGTCGCGGGGCACTCGCAGGGAGGTGATGATGACCAGGGGCTGGGGCTGGGGCCATGATGCGGCGCTGGATTTCATGGCCCTTACTTCTCATTTCAACGCGTCCCCTTCTCAATGTGCCCTGGAAGTGGCAGGGTCGTGTTTCCACCGTTTCTGGAAAAGTGTCTTTCGAACATGGAAACGAACAAACAAACGGAAGCGGCAACAAAACGGCTCTGGGATTGGAGCTGGAGCCGCAACCGGAACAATAACACGGCGATGGGACGGGCAACAAAAGCTGCGTAGGAGTTGACAAACAGAAACGGCAAAACGGAGCCAGAAACAAAGACTGCCCTGTCGCTTCCAGGGCCCACTACGGTCCCCCCCTCCTGGTCCGCAGACACGCCTCTGGTTATGGAAGTCGGTTGATGGAGAGGAAGCATGCTGTCAAATGTTTCCAGATGTCTAAGATGTGTTTTTTAACATGTTTTAAATATGTAAGAACTTGTTTGAAACGTTTTTTTTTAACATATTTTACACATTTGAACACATCTTCAATTCAATGATAGGATTGTTAGAGTGTCACTTGTCATGGCATCTACAACTCTGGCCATGACCTGCGACCACTCCCCTCTCTTGGACGCCGCCGCCCCCCTCCGTTGGACGCCCCCCGGTTCTCCACGCTCGTCGAGCTGGGGAGGTGGGGAGGATGGTGGACGGGGAAGCGGGAGGATGATGACAATGCTGTTAAGAATGATGATGCTGATGTTGATAATGATGATTATGATGATGATGATGATGATGATGATGATGATGATGATGATGATGATGATGATGATGATGATGATGATGATGATGATGATGATGATGATGATGATGATGGTGATGATGCTGCTGCTGCTGCTGATGATGATGATGATGATGATGATGGTGATCATGATGGTGATGGTGATGGTGATACGGATGATGGTGATGATGGCGACTCTGTTGGTGATGGTGATGGGGATGGTGGAGTTGACGGTTGTGCTGCCGATGGTGATGCGAAGGGGGAACGATGAGGAGGATGTGGCGGAGGAGGAGGAGGAGGAAGAGGTAGGACTAGTAGGAGAGAGAAGAGTGTGACAGTAAGGAAGAGGGACGGATGACAACGAGGTGGAGGAGGAGGAGGAGGAGGGGGAGAGTTGAGGGGCACGCAAGGAGCGTCCGCTACTTGATATCGTTTATCCGATCCCCATCCCCATCTCCATCCCCGTCGAGACCCCCACCAAATTACCACCCCAGTTGGGGATACACCCCTCGAAACCTGAAGAGAACGACCTATATCCTCATCTAGGGGGGTAAATCGGCCAGCGGGGCCCAGGCCACGCCGCTGGGGATGGGGATCGGTTAAACGATACTCAGCTACATGTCTGGCTTCCCACCCTTCCCAGCCATCCACTCGCGTTGCGCGGGTCTCGTCTCGACCCGCCGACGGCTGTCATAGCAGACCTGGGATCGCTGAACGGGTTGCTCCGTCGTGGCAGCAGGGGCAGATGTGGGAGGATCGGGAGGCGCCGGATGATCAGGGGAAGGCGCGAGAGGGGACACGAGGAGGACGGCACCGATGAGGGAGGGTTCGGATCCAGGCCCAGGCGGGGGTGGGGGTGCCATTGCGAACGACGGGAGCCAGGCGCCGAACCTATGATCAGGCCCACTCTACAGTGGGAGCGCCAACCTGAAACATGGAAATCGTTCCGATTGAATACGCATGACCCGAAGGCTGTGTTTGAAATCTTGCCTTTGGAAGCATTGCCCCGGGAGGCGGTTTCGTTTCATGACTTAGTCGGGGAAGAGACGGTAGCAGTACCCGAAGCAGTGTTTTTATTCGGGGATTCGCGCTTCGCTCTCTAGGCAGATGGGTTCGGCGCCAAATCATGGGACCATGGTATACCCTCTTAGTTCCGTCTTCAGCGTCGACTCGCGCCGACTAGCGCCCGGGAGTCGATGGGGCAGCGCTGACTCAGCGTCGATCTAGCGCCGATGCAGCGTCGATGCAGCGTCGATCCGCAAGAGCGGACAAGATGGTGTGGGAGGCTCCCACGAGCTGCCGCCGAAGATGGATGCGCTGCCCTGGCCTCCGCCCCGCTGGCGCGCGGGGCCCGCTCGCGGGCGCCTCGCGGGCGCGCCCCGTGCGCCCCCCAGCAGAGGCGTCTTGCACCGCACGGCCTGCACCGCACAGCCTGCACCGCACGGCTAACACCACGCGGCGTATACGAAACGATGTCCTCCTCCTCCTCGCGAGTCTACCAGGGTTGATGGCCCAAGGGCCCTCAGCAAGGCCGGACTCGTCAAGAGGGCGGCGAAGCGGAAGCCAGCGTAGAGCCCTTCTAGCGACCCAGTCGCCCAATCCAGCACTCCAGAACTCCTCCTCCTCCTCCTCCTCCTCCTCCTCCTCCTTCGCGGCCTCCACATGTCGTCAACAGCACAGCTTGCTCCGCACAGCTCGCACCGCACAGCGTGCACCGTACAGCTTGTGCCACATCGCCTGCACAGAATCTGCGCCACCGCCTAGCTCGCACCGCGTTGCCTTTACTCTGACATACCCTACACCGATCACACCACATCGCGTATACACAACATAGCGTACTCCGCCTAGCACACACCGCTTAAGCTGGATCACGCCACTGACACTACATAGCTTACACCACATAGCTGTCGAGACGCAGCCTGCACGGCATATGACTCTCACCTCCACAGCGCAATACCTCACTATGTGGGGCCTGCGCTGCGCTGGCCAGCATGCTCGTGTTGAGTCGTTGCGGAGGAGAAGGAGGAGCACGGCGAGTGGGAGACGCCGATGCTGGCCATCTCTCTGCTTCTACGACCCTTCGCTCTTCCGTCGACTCTTGATTAATGGAAGTCGGTTAATGGAGAGGAAGCATGCTGCCAAATCATTTCCAGATGTCTGAAGGATGTTTCAACTATGTTTTAAATGGGTCAAAAACATGTCTGAAACACTTTTAGAACACGTTTTACACAGTTCAAACACATGTTTGTTTCAATGATCGGATTGTTAGAGTGTCCATTGTCATGGCATCCACAACCCTTCCGTCCCGTCCATCCATCCAGGGAAGGTGCCAGGGCGGGACGGCTCCGAGGAGAAGGGCCGGGGAGACACGCTCACTGCCAGCAGGAGAAAGCCAGGCGATCGCAAACATGGACCACAGGGGGGCGTGGACTAGCGACGGGTCCCGCTTCCATGGGAAGTCACGAACCCACGCCGAGCGAGGCGGCACCGGCCGCATTTTGGGGAGGGCACCTCCCCCGATCCGTGGATTTGGCGACCGCGCGCCAAATCCATGGATCGCCAATCCATGTGCGCGCGCCCCCGAAAATCAGGCCGAGCGCGCGCGAGCTTTGGTCCCTGGAAGTGGCGAAGGAGTTTGCAGCCGTTTCCGAAGTCTGGCGCTGGAGTACGAAACAGGAGCAAAACAAATCGCGCATCGAGCCGGAAAGAACGTCGCCAGAACCGGAACCGGAGCCCGAAACGGACACAATAGACGGCGACGGAACCAGAAAACGTACGGCGGCGGAGCCTAAGAATTTAGAACAGCGGAGCCAGAAGAATGTTAGCCCTGTCGTTTCCAAGGCCCGCTGAGGTGTGTGGAGGTGGGCGGGGGGGCTTCGGCAGCAAATCACGGGCGCCTGGTACGTTCTCTCGTAATTCCGTCTTCCAAGTGCGCTCGCGTCCACTGGCGTCTGGCAGTCAATGGGATACAGCGTCGATGCAGGCTGACCCGTGTCGATTGAGTGTCGACTCTCTTCGATCACAGTCGGCCAGATTAGTAGGTCGACCCCGCCAAATCAAGGGTACCCTTGTGTCCTGTGTCTCGCGACCCATGCTTCCGGCATTCCTGTGGCAACGTGGCCCCCGGAAGGGTCTTGTGTCCCCTCGCGTGTCCTGTCCAAGCGAGTCCGACTGCAGCGTCGACTCGCAAGAACGAGCAGGATATCATGGTAGGCCCCCACGAGGTGCCGCAGAAGGCTCCCTCGCGCGCGCGTGCGCGGAGGCCAGCGGCGCCGCCCTCGCAGCGGCCGCCGTCCCAGCAGCGCCCGGCCACGCCGTCGCAGCGCCCGCCGCCGGCGCAGCGCCCGGCGTCGCAGCAGCGGCCGCCGTCACGGCAGCGCCCGCCCTCGCGGCCCTCCCGTGGGGCGCAGGAGCCGCGCAACTGCGACTGCCCGGCGTGCTCGCGGGGCATGTACGCGGTGCTCGGCGATTGCAAGGGGTGTGGCTAGCAGTGTGGAAGTCGATGAATGGAGAGGAAGCGTGCTGCCAAATAGTTGCAAGTTGTCTAAAAGATGTTTCGCATCTGTTTTAAACATGTTAAGCGCATGTTTGAAACGTTTTAGAACATACTTTACACATTCTAAGCACATGCTTAATTCGATGATGGGATTGTTGGAGTGCACATTGTCATGGCATCCACAAAGTTAACAGTATCGTTTACTTACCGATCCCTATCCCTATCCTCCTCCGGACCCCCAAGGATCCCACCAGAGCCAGGTCTGGGAAGCGCCCTTTTGAAACCCGAGGGACAAAATGCTCATACCTCCCTCCAGCAGGCACATGGGTCCCACGCCACGGGGGGACGGGAGTCGGTCAAACGATGCTCAGGTTACGCCCGGGGTTGGTGGTTTGCGATCTGCGTCGTTGGGGCCTTGGGGGTCGCCACGTTGCCCTCGTCGGGGCGTGGCGCAGAACTCGGAGGCCTAGAAATTGTCCCAAACACCAATATTGGCGGTGTGCCTCCACAGAGGGTGCGTGATCCCGATCTCGGCCATGGTGGGGTAAGATTCGAGCTTCCTGGGCGCCCGGAAGATTACCACCAGCACCAAAATCTGGGACCGTCTTGCCCTGGTAGAGGCAGCCTTTTGTTCTGGTGCTGGTGCTCATTTCCAAGCCTCCAAAGAACTCAGTTGAGGTCCTCGCCCGCCCCCCCCCAGGCTTAAGTCGGGCATGTCCCTCTACAGGAGGGAAATTCAAAAATAGTAAAAAATATGGTCCGATGACGATTTGTTTGAGTATTTTCTTACATGTGTTCAATAGTTCTTTGATCATTTTTGATTTATCGCCCAAATCCCCCTGTAGGGGGACTGGCCCCCCCCCCAGGCGCGGGTCGCAAACCACACCCGTTGCAAACCACACCCTTTTTGAGCCGCCGAGGTGTGCGTGCGCGTCCAGGCCGCCAAGGCGCGCGGAGCGGCGTGGTCTGACTCTGCTTGTTCGTTGTTGTTGGTGGTGTTGTTGGTGTTGTTTTTGTTATTGTTGTTGGTGTTGTTGTTGTTGTTATTGTCGTTGTTGTTGTTGTTGTCGGTGTTGTAGTTGTTGTTGTTAGTTGGTGTTGCTGCTGTTGTTTATGTTGCCGTTGCTATTGCGGTTGCTGTTGGTTCGGTTGGTGTTGTCGTACATGTTGTTGTTGTTGTTGTTGTTGTTGAGCATTATTACTTCTAAAGAATAATTATTGTTGGGACCCCTGGTGCATGGCCCCCCCGCCGCGCCTAGGCCGCAGCCTCATTTTCATCATTTTCGTGAGGAAGTCTCAGGCAAAACGATGTCATCCAGATCCGGTTGTGTTGTTACGATCGGTTTTCCCTTGCAAAAAATAAGCTAAAGTGGACATTTCTTGTTCTAACATAACCAAACTTCAAGAATCCCTTGCAAAAAATAAGGTAAAGTGGACATTCGCGCGCGCAAGACGAAATCCTTCCAAAACCTTAGTTTTCGTAGCGATTTTAACATAAAAACATCAAAAAACCAATGGTTTTTCAAAAAAAAATGTCAAAATTTCATCCCGCGCGCTCTTGCGGATTCGTAGGAAACCCAACACTTTTTAATCATTTCTGTCAAACGGGCTTTTGCGAGCAACTTTTTCGAACTTCTGCAACAACGGTTGCGCACCTGCCAGGGCCATCATCCCTGTCAAATAATACCATGCGGGACACATTCGTTTTTTCTTCGCGCGCGCACGCCGTCGTCGTCGGCCGCGGGGCCCTGAATAGTAGCCACGGTCGTCCGCATGCCACGAAGTGAAGTGTCCGAACGTCATAGGGCGGGAAGCTGGGTGTGGGTGGTGGCGAAGAGTCGTTTGGAAATTTGGTAGAGCTTGAACCGGCCCCCCCACAAAGTGGGGGTATTGCCCGCCTCCTATGAAAACCCTGGCACTGGTGAGAACGGTGTGTCCCCACGTGCTAGTAATTGTTGTTGTTGTTGTTGAACATTATTAATTCTAAAGAATAATTATTGTTGGGGCCCCTGGTGCGCGCCCCCCCCGCCGCGCCTAGGCCGCAGCCACATTTTCATCATTTTCGTTAGGAAGTCTCAGGCAAAACGTGGGTGTCCGGATCCGGTTGTGTTGTTACGATCGGTTTTCCCTTGCAAAAAATAAACTAAAGTGGACATTTCTTGTTCTAACATGACCAAACTTCAAGAATCCCTTGCAAAAAATGGCACGAAGTGCACATTCGCGCGCGCAAGACGAAATCCTTCCAAAACCTTAGTCTTCGTAGCGATTTTCACATAAAAACATGAAAAACCCAATGGTTTTTCAAAAAAAGGGTTTCAAAAATTCACCCCGCGCGCTCTTGCGGATTTCTTAGGAAACCCAATACTTTTTCAACATTTCTGTCAAACGGGCTCTTGCGAGCAACTTTTTCACGTGCTTCGAACTTCTGCAACAAAGGTTGCGCGCCTGCCAGGGCCATCATCCCTGTCAAATAATACCATATGGGACACATTCGTTTTTTCTTCGCGCGCGCACGCCGAAATCTTCAATTGCAGGGGGAAAAGTCGTATACTAAGCTAGCTTCCACAAAATGTTACCACAACAAGTCATTGTACCCATGCGCCAGTGTAGTAGCCAAGGTCGTCCGCAGGCCACGAAGTGAAGTGTCCGAACGTCATAGGGCGGGAAGCTGGGTGTGGGTGGTGGCGAAGAGTCGTTTGGAAATTTGGTAGAGCTTGAACCGGCCCCCCCACAAAGTGGGGGTATTGCCCGCCTCCTATGAAAACCCTGGCACTGGTGAGAACGGAGTGTCCCCAGTCTTAAATGATTGTTGTTGTTGTTGTTGTTGTGGTCGTTGTTCATATCGTGATTGCTGCTACTGCTGTTGTTGGTGTTATTGTGGTGGTTGTTGGTGGTGGTGTCGTTGGTGTTGTTGTATTGCTGGTGTTGCTGCCTTTTGCTGATCTAGGCCCCGCGGCATCGAATCGTCTCTTTATCGTGTGATGGTGTTCTTCCATCCTCGCCTGATTGGCTGGGGGACGGGTGGCACGCCGAACCTGGACGACATCAAATCGCGATCTGCGAGGTCTGGGGGGGCGGAGTGGGACGTCAGTCCTGACCTTCAGAACGATCTTGGCCAGCTATTGAACCCAAATTTCTCCCTACGACCCCAGTCTTCGCTCAGGCACCGCAGGCCCGTCGGAGGGCGCGGCGGGGCTGTGTCCATCGGCCGCGTCCTCTTCGAAGGCAATCGAAGGCTGTCGGATCGGCGCTCGTACAGCGTCGGGGACCACCTTGGTGCCCAGCTCATAGTCTGAGGGGACGGGGTCCAGGAGCCCAAAGCGCCATGTGCTCCCACTGTGCTCCAGTGGGAGAGGGGGGGGGGTCTGCACCTCCACCTCCGTGTTCCTCCAGGCCTCCCACGTGAGGTGCGGATGGGGTCGGAGGGTCGCATACCGACCTAGCTTCGGAGTGCCACCTCTGCTGAGCCCGTTCTGCCCTGAGCTCGGCCTCGTCCTCGACCGCGTCGGAGCCCACGCGCTTCGTGGGAGCCTATGGGGCGGCCTTCGTCTCCTCCTCCCCCTCCTCCACCTCCTCCTCCTTATCCTTATCCTTTTTTCTTTCTCCTTCTCCTCCTCTTCCCCCTCCTCCTCCTCCTCTTCCTCGTCTTCCTCCTCTTCCTCCTCCTCCCCCTCCTCCTCCTCCATCTTCTCTCCCTCCCTGCCCTCATCTAGCTACCCCTCCCCCATGACTCTCATCTGCCAATCCGCGTGCGCGCCCCCCTGCCCCTCTTCCCCTCTCCCGCTCCCCTTCCTTCCCTCCCTTCCACTTCCCTCCGCCCTGCCCAATTCGCTGGGCGCGGGGGGGAGGGCTTGCCAATTCCCAAGAAGAAAAGAGCCGTAAATATTAACTTTTGGCACTCCGCGCGGATTTCTTGGATCCGTGCTGAGCCGCCCCGGCGGCGCCTCTGGCGCCGCCCCTGGCGCGCTCCGCGCGCCAGGGCGGGGTCCAGCGCAGATCCAAGAAGTCCGCGCGGAGCGCTAAAAGTTTATGTTCGTAGTGCTTGCTCTCCTTTTACAATTGCCTGGAAGTCCAGGGCACTCGTACCCGAGAACCACACGATGTTCCTGTGCTCGCGCATGATATTTTGCGCTTGCACGGGCAGTGGACCGCTGGAATGCACGAATCGTTTGATGCTTCGCTGCGACTCCAACCGGGCGCTTGATTTGCCCCAGAAATAGTCAGGATCCTGGTTGAGGGGAACTGGTTAGAGATTGGGCCCCGAAGCCCAACATATGGATTGGAGTCACCGAGCCAGGTCTGCCGTAGCTGGCGTTTCTTCGGGTGGCGGCACTTCCGGTTAGTGGAATGGGGCGGGGGGGTGTCCCTCAGTACACCTTACACCAGGTCCAAGTAGGCTTGTGTAAGTCGATTCATGGAGAGGAAGCGTGCTGCCAAATAAGTTCCAGATGTCTAAACATGTTACAAACATGTTTGAACATGTAAAAGCAATGGTTGGAACATGTTTAGAACATGTGTTGCACATTTTAAACACATGATTAATTCAATGATCTGATTATTAGGGTGTCCAATGTCGTGGCATCCACAACACTAGGCCCAGTCCTGCCAACGCCCGATTGTAAACGGGACCAGTCCAGCAGTCCCCGTGGAGCCGCCCGTGCCGCCCCCTGCCTGTGCCCCCCTACCGGAGCTTCCTGGGCGCTCTGCTGGGCCCTGTTTGGCGCCCTGCACGAGCTCGGTGGAGGCCTCCTGCTGCCTCCCTCGTCTTCGGATGCAACTCCTGGGAGGTCGAATTCAGATTTTGCCCTGGTCCGAAATCCTGCTTAATCCCGCTTAAGCCCGCTTACTCCGGTGTAATCCCGCTTAATGCGAGACCCACTCCGGCGCAACAGCTCCCAAATGGGGCTTCATCCTCCTCAGTCTTTCCGACGAAACAACCTCCCAGCAGTTGCCTTCTAACTCCTCCCTGCTCAGCACCTCTCCAGACCCCTCGAGTCATCAACAAGTCACAACGGTGTTCTATTGGTTTGGGCGCGTGGGGCCCTTACCGGGCATCGGGACCGTGAAAGGACCCCTCGGGGTGAAGAACCGCTGCAGGCGAAAGGGTCGAGACCATTGGGTGTCGTAGTAGTTTGGGCTCACTAGGTCCTCATTGTGCCTGTCGTCACTGTGCTCCTCCTCGTGCCCCCTGCAGACTTTCGTCGTGTCTCCGAGGCGAGGATGTGTCCACAGCCGCTGCAGTGGGGATCGGTCGCCAATGACACTGGTAGGCGGCGGATCTGGGTGTGCTCGGCCACGTCAGGAGCGGAATACGTTCGTATCCACCGTCGGCCGATGTCCCCGAAGATCGACCCCAGGGGCAGGAGTGACGGCTGAATCTCCACCTCGTAATTATTGTCCCCCCGGGCCCTAGTTGTTCTTGAGACCGCTGGGGGCGTTTTGTTACAGTTTTCCTCGTGTCGCGCTTGACTCGACCAAGACGTTCTAAGAACGACACCCTTGACTGTGTACGTCAGGCAGGCGGCATTCTGCTACCTCAAACGCGTTCAGAAACGTATGGAAACGGTCAGAAATCCAGTAGATGGGCCACGGGCCGATGCCGGACCGGAAAACGTAGCAACACCCGCTTCCAAAACGAAAACAGGACGTCGATCTAGAACACGGGGGACACGACGCCCCAGGCGTTCCTGACACAGGCGGGGCGCTGAAGAAGGAACCTTTTTCGTTGGGGGGGGCTCGGTGCTCCTCAATTGCTTCTCAGTTTGCCTTGGGTTTTCCTGAGGTTTCCCATGGGGAGTCGAGGTTAAACTTATCACACAAAGGGACCTCGTTCCTCATGAAGGGTTCCTTAGGTCAACGCCCCGACTGTATCATCCGAGCCCCCCGCCCCCCTCCCTGGGCCTCCCTGCGTCTCCTCCCCCCCATCTCTCCCTCCCCGTCTCCGTCCTCCTCCCCTTGTGCCCCTCCCCCATGGGGCGTCCGCCCCTCGACACGCCACATGTCAAAGAGGGGGGGCTCGGATGCAACTCCTGGGAGGTCAACTTCTAATTTTGCCCTGGTCCGAAGTCCGGCTCAATCCCGCTTCCGGCATAATCCCGCTGAATCCCGCCCAATCCGGCCCAATCCGAGGCCCATTCCGGCGTAACAGCTCTTTAATCTTCCCGACGAAAAAATCCTCCCAGTAGTTGCCTCCTAAGGGGGGGGGATCGATTGCAGCATTTCTATCCCCCAGATTGACTTCTCGGCGAATCTTCGGGACAGGCGTAGGATGCTCCGTAGATCTACGGAACATTCTACGTGCTCGCGCCTGTAGGTTTGACGGAACTTGAACTCTGTGGCAAGGCAGTTATGTAGTCGATACCCTACCCGAACACCAGGCGATCGCAAACATGGATCAAGGGGGCGTGGACTAGCGACGGGTCCCGTTTCCATGGGGAGTCGCGGACTTCCGCCGCCGAGCGAGGCGGCACCGGCCGCATTTTGGGGAGGGCACCTCCCCCGATCCCTGGATTTGGCGACCGCGCGCCAAATCCATGGATCGCTAATCCATGTTTGCGCGCCCCCCAGAACATCCCCCCGCCCCTCTCCTCCTCAGCATCAGATGCGCGAAGTCAGCAGCTGGCCTGCCCGCAGGTGCCTCGTGAAAGTGCATCGCTCCCGGATTGCCACGAGGAGCCACAGGGACATCGACGAAAGATTTACCACTACAGTTCAGTCGGGCCTGTCCCTCTACAGGGGGAGTGCTCAAAAATAGTCAAAACATAATCTGGGGACGATTTTTTTGTATTAATCTTTTCTGTGGATAGTTTGGTGTCTGTTTTGGGTATTTTTTATTTTTCGTCGAAAATCCGCCTGTAGGGGGACATGCCCGACCTAACACTACAGCTAAGACGCTGAGTGAAGAACCAGTCTGGGATCGGAAAGGGGCTCGCTGTTCCCCCAGAAGCTCCCGTGCTCGTTCCTCTGGCGGTCCCCGTGCACCCAGGCGCCCTTGGAGCCAATAGGGGGTTCGTTCCCTGTGCAGCGTTCCGGGTGGGAGCACGGTGCCTGTAGCTTTCCTGCATCATGACGTCTTGTCCCATGTCCAAACTGTAGCTGTTTTGCTGCAGACCGCTGGCTCCAGGCCATCCAGCGTGGTCGATGAGCTGGTATGTTGACCAGCGTGGCCGCCGGGTCTGGGTCGAGCGCGAGGAGACAGTCTTTACCATCGATGAGCCCACCGAGGAGCCGCCCACGGAGAACCTCACCTACCTCGCCAGCGCGTCCTCGAAGGCGGTGTACGCGGAACACAGCATCGACGAAGAGTCCGGCGCCAGGGGCAAGAAGAAGGATGCCCAGGCTGGGCGGCAGCGTGGCTTCGTCGTCCGCATGGATCACGACGACGACGGGCTGTCCAGGGTGGCGGAGGACTTCGTGCCGGTCGCGAGGGACCTGTTGAAGTCCGGAGCCGTCTCTAGAGTGGACGTTGACACCTCCAGGGATGGGGCGAAGAAAAAGAAGAAGAAAGCCAAGGACAGAAAGCCTGGCGAAGAGGAGGAAGACGAGAAGGAGAGGGAGCCGGCGCTGCCTCTGGGCGTCAACGAGTGCCGCGTGGAGACCACGGCCCGGTGCCAGCACTTCGCGCACGGCACGGGCTGGAGGGTCGACGTGTCCAGCGGCGAGGGGGCTCAGAGGATCTTCCTGTTCACCGCCAAAAAGGAGCTCACCTCGGCCGACTGGCACAAGCAGCTGCTGGCCAGCATGGGCACCTCCGGCAAGAGGGTCATGCTCGGGCGCATGCTGGGCGAGGGCCCGGACGGGAGCGGCGCGGGGAAAACGGGGCCCGCGAAGAAGGACGAGGCGCAGCACGACGAGGACGACTGGCTCAAGAGCATGATGGGCCTGAGCAAGGACAGGTCGTCCCGGGCCGGGGCGGAGCCCGCAGGCGGCGGCGGCGGCGCCGAGGGCGCGGCGGGCGACGAGGGCCCCGACGGCGGCACGGCGCCTGCCCCGAAGGCTCCGGCCAAGAAGGCGATCGCACCCCCGTGGCTCCGCAGGTAGCCGCCCGTGTTCGGGTTTCTCGTGCGCCGCGTCGCGCGCGCGCCCCGCGCGCGCGCGCGCCCCGCGCGCGCCTGGTGCGGACGCTGTGAGCGGCGCCGTGAGCGGCGTTGAGGGCCTCCTCCCCGGACGTCCGACGGCAGGGCTCGTCCCAGGCGCGCCCCCAGGAAGTGCCGGGCCCCCTGACCCTCCAGAGTGCGAAGAAATAGCCCTCCCGACCTATAGACCTATCTGGATTGCCTAAAACCTCGACAGGAATTAAGATGTCGAGATCCTGGTGCTTTTTTTCCCAACCATCCTGTGGTGTTGGGTCCTCGTTTTGAAGAGACGGCGCCCCGCGTTCCTCACCTCCTCCTCCTCCCCCCCCTCCCTCCTCCCATCATCATCATCATCATCATCATCATTATCATCATCCTCATCATCATCATCATCATCATCATCATCATCATCATCATCATCATCATCATCATCATCATCACCACCAATTTCGGCACACCCCTCACACGTTTGTGGCCCCATAGGGAGCTCCACCGAAGGCCCCAGTGGCATCGCACCACCACCCATTTCGGCACACCCCTCACACGTTTCGTGGCCCCATAGGGAGCTCCACCGAAGGCCCCAGTGGCACATGCCTCCCCACCACCCATTTCGGCACACCCCTCACACGTTTCGTGGCCCCATAGGGAGCTCCACCGAAGGCCCCAGTGGCAGGGTCCGGCCATTTCGGCACACCCCTCACACGTTTCGTGGCCCCATAGGGAGCTCCACCGAAGGCCCCACATGCGTCCCCACACCCATTTCGGCACACCCCTCACACGTTTCGTGGCCCCATAGGGAGCTCCACCGAAGGCCCCAGGTCCGCATGCTCCCCACACCCATTTCGGCACACCCCTCACACGTTTCGTGGCCCCATAGGGAGCTCCACCGAAGGCCCCAGTGGCAGGGTCGCATGCCTCCCCACCACCCATTTCGGCACACCCCTCACACGTTTCGTGGCCCCATAGGGAGCTCCACCGAAGGCCCCAGTGGCAGGGTCCGCATGCCTCCCCACCACCCATTTCGGCACACCCCTCACACGTTTCGTGGCCCCATAGGGAGCTCCACCGAAGGCCCCAGTGGCAGGGTTCGCATGCCTCCCCACCACCCATTTCGGCACACCCCTCACACGTTTCGTGGCCCCATAGGGAGCTCCACCGAAGGCCCCAGTGGCAGGGTCCGCATGCTCCCCACACCCATTTCGGCACACCCCTCACACGTTTCGTGGCCCCATAGGGAGCTCCACCGAAGGCCCCAGTGGCAGGGTCCGCATGCCTCCCCACCACCCATTTCGGCACACCCCTCACACGTTTCGTGGCCCCATAGGGAGCTCCACCGAAGGCCCCAGTGGCAGGGTTCGCATGCCTCCCCACCACCCATTTCGGCACACCCCTCACACGTTTCGTGGCCCCATAGGGAGCTCCACCGAAGGCCCCAGTGGCAGGGTCGCATGCCTCCCCACCACCCATTTCGGCACACCCCTCACACGTTTCGTGGCCCCATAGGGAGCTCCACCGAAGGCCCCAGTGGCAGGTTCGCATGCCTCCCCACACCCATTTCGGCACACCCCTCACACGTTTCGTGGCCCCATAGGGAGCTCCACCGAAGGCCCCAGTGGCTGCGTTCGCATGCCTCCCCACCACCATTTCGGCACACCCCTCACACGTTTCGTGGCCCCATAGGGAGCTCCACCGAAGGCCCCAGTGGCAGGGTCCGCATGCCTCCCCACCACCCATTTCGGCACACCCCTCACACGTTTCGTGGCCCCATAGGGAGCTCCACCGAAGGCCCCAGTGGCAGGGTCCGCACCACCTCACACCGTGCCCATAGGGACCACCGAAGGCCCCAGTGGCTGCGTTCGCATGCCCTCCCACCACCCATTTCGGCACACCCCTCACACGTTTCGTGGCCCCATAGGGAGCTCCACCGAAGGCCCCAGTGGCAGGGTCTGCATGCCTCCCCACCACCCATTTCGGCACACCCCTCACACGTTTCGTGGCCCCATAGGGAGCTCCACCGAAGGCCCCAGTGGCAGGGTCCGCATGCCTCCCCACCACCCATTTCGGCACACCCCTCACACGTTTCGTGGCCCCATAGGGAGCTCCACCGAAGGCCCCAGTGGCAGGGTCGCATGCCTCCCCACCACCCATTTCGGCACACCCCTCACACGTTTCGTGGCCCCATAGGGAGCTCCACCGAAGGCCCCAGTGGCAGGGTCCGCATGCCTCCCCACCACCCATTTCGGCACACCCCTCACACGTTTCGTGGCCCCATAGGAGCTCCACCGAAGGCCCCAGTGGCAGGGTCCGCATGCCTCCCCACCACCCATTTCGGCACACCCCTCACACGCTTCGTGGCCCCATAGGGAGCTCCACCGAAGGCCCAAGTGGCAGGGTCCGCATGCTTCCCCACCACCCATTTCGGCACACCCTTCACACGCTTCGTGGCCCCATAGGGAGCTCCACCGAAGGCCCCAGTGGCTTGGTTCGTATGCCTCCCCAGCACCCATTTCGGCACATCACTCACACGTTTCGTGGCCCCATGGGGATTTCCACTGAAGGCCCCAGTAACTGGGTTCGCATGCGCCCCCACACCCATTTCGGCACACTCCTCACACGCTTCGTGGCACCATGGGAGCTCCACCGAAGGCCCCAGTGGCAGGGTCCGAATGCCTCCCCACCACCCATTTCGGCACACCCTTCACACGTTTCGTGGCCCCATAGGGAGCTCCACCGAAGGCCCCAGTGGCTTGGTTCGTATGCCTCCCCAACACCGATTTCGGCACATCGCTCACGCGTTTCGTGGCCCCATGGGGATTTCCACTGAAGGCCCCAGTGGCAACGCTCGCATGCCGCCCCCACACCCATTTCGGCACACCCCTCAAACGGTTCGTGGCCCCATAGGGAGATCCACCGAAGACGGTACTCACACCAGCATTACTCACAACTGCATATGGTTGGGTCCTTCGCCAGGCTAATCTAGCCCTCCTGGAAGGTCAGGGCCCAGGGCCCTCCCCCCCTGTGCACGGGCAGTGTGCTGTGGCCCGGGTCCATTGCCGAGGCCTCCGGAGGGGCCCCATGTGAGACGCAAAAGAGAGGGACAGCGCAGAGGCACAGCTCGTCGGAGGTCTGGGTCTCCTCCTGCGGGAGCGGCCTGCCCGCTCCCCAGCAGGCCATCCCCTTTCCGTGGCGTCCGCCTCGCCTCGCCCCAAGGCGCATGTGTCACCGTCTGCGGCCGAGGGGTGAGTCGGAAGGCGAGGCGGCCGAAGGGGTCCGAGCAGCGGGGCGGCCTGAAGGGGGTGCGAATGGCGAGGAGGACGTCACGGAGGGGGATGGCTTGCCATGGTGAAGTCCTGCACGTCCCTCTACAGGTGGAATGTCCAAAAATAGTCAACAATAGTCTGGCCATTCGATTTGTTAAACTATTTAGGGGAGTTTTTTTGAGTATTTATTTTCCTTCAAAATCCGCCTGTAGGGGGACATGCCCGACCGCGCCCTGCTCCTCCACTTCCTCCATCGGTCGATAGCGACCAGCGGGGGGGTTCTCTTTTGGGCCGTCCCAGGGAGTCGCGTGAGCCGTGCGCATGGTGGCTCGGATCTCCCGAGCCTTGGCGTCGTGATCTCCTCGCGGCGGCAGTGCGCTCGGATGAGCTGCTGGGGGGATGTGGGGAACGCACCACCACCAGGACCCCTGGCCCAAGGTGCTCCCAGGATTTCCAAGGAGGTCCCCACGGCCTCCACAGCAACCCTCACGAGGCCCCGAGGGCCCCAGGGTCTCAAGCATGGGGCGAAAAGCTGGGGGCACCTCGGGCCAGCGATGCTTCTGGCAACACTCGACCAGGCGTCCGCGGGTCCGTTTCGGGCCCGACGCTGGTGTTCCAAGATCTCCGACGCCCTGTTGTTCGTTTCTACACTGCTCTTGTTCCTCGACATCGGCCCTGGGGGGCCGTTTCCCGACCCCTCGGGACCATCAAATTCAGGAGGGGAAAAACACACGGACACAATTAATCGTCGATTCCCCCGAAATTATAGGAAAATATGGGAAGTGGGGGGGGGAGACACAAACCCTGAAAATATCTGAAAACGTGGGGGCACCTATCATTTGTGTCTATTTATTTGTGTGCCCCAGGGTCCCTTCACAAGCACGACTCTGGGACGGTCAGCTACCCCCAGGGGCAACGATAGGGGGGGGAGAGGCACAGGGGTGTATGCATCGACACCCAATTGCCCATTGATCGCCGATGGGAGCCCGATAGCGCCAACCTGCCCAGGAGGGTTCGGACTCGCTGTGGGAGGCCTGTCGCCGATCTGTCGGCGAGGAATCGCCGATGCCGCGTCGATGCATCCCGCCAATGTGCCAGCCGGTGCCCCTCGTGCCCCCTGGGGGAGCGTCGGGACCACATCGGCGGATGGCAGGGCCTACGGCTCCCAGTCGGGCCTTCCTGGTGGCTGGTGCACGCAGCCAGTCACGCGCACAGGGGGGTGTGGGCCAGGGGGGGAGGCTTCGCGCAGGGGATCGACTACAGACCTGGTTCACCCCAGACCTTGATCGTCTCGCCGGACTCATGAGACAAATCCGTAGACTCGTCCGTAGATCAACGGAGCACGCTTGGCATGTGTTGTAGATTCGGCGGGACATTCATTTTGGGGTACATCGATTATGTGCATAGTCGATACCCTGCTCGAAGGCTTCTTTGAAGTACCCCTGCTTATCAGAAGGCGCGGGCCTCATCAAGAGACGTAAGGCCGGCGCCTTCTGAGCAGCAGCCTCCTTCCAAGATGTCTTCCTCCCCTCCCCCCCTATCCCCCCCCCCCCTCTTCGAGCCGCTAGCGCAGGGCGGGCCCCTGGGGAGTCCTGGTGGTGCTGGCTGTCTGGAGGGCGGCGCCCTCTGCCGGCGCCTCCCAGGCTGACCCACCTTGCGACTGTGTCGGGACAGCCTTGTGGCCTTCTCCGGCCATCCTTGGGCGGCCTCGGGGGACCCGTGGGGCTTCCAGGGCCGTCCGGGGGCCGCACGGGCGGCCACTGGTGGGGGCCCTCTTGGGGTCATTTCTCGGGGCCGTGTCGGCAGTCCTGGGCGGTCTGGTCGGCATCCTGGAGCCACCGTGGCGCCGTCGGAGGCAGTCTCGGGGACTGCGGGGCCGTCTGGAGGCAATCCTGATCGATGCTCTGGGGCGGAGCATGGGACGGCACACCCCAGGAGCGCCCAGGAGCGACAGGACGTTCCGGCACATCGTGGTCTTGGGCGAGCGAGAACCCTACAGTCCGTGAGCACTCCGCAATCACAGCTGCATGAGGCCTGGTGTTCCACTGCTTGCTGAGGGCAAGGCAGCGGCCTGTGGCTCAGGGCTCAAGTCTGGACGCCCGAAATGGGTACGAGAAGAATGGGTATAATGCCCATCAGCGGTTCCTGTTCATTTTGAACAGGACTCGCTGTCGGTGCCGCCGCGGCCTGTGTACATTTGAGGCAGGAGGTCGCCTGCCCAACAGCGGCCGCTGTTGGTTTGGGACAACATTTGTCGTTGGGCATTGTACCCATTCTTTCGGTACCCATTTCGGGCGTCCAAATCAAAGAAGCGGACGACCACGAGGGCCAGAGGCAATAGGGGGGCACGCGTCATCGCACGCGTCGTGCGGGCGGCCCCAGCCAGCAGGCCCTGCAGGGTATAGCCCAGAGCGGCGGGCTCCGCAGGGCAGCCCAGGGCAGCCTCGACGCGCTGAGGCGTAAGTGGGGCCCGTCCCTCTACGGGAGGGAAATTCAAACATAAGTATAACAATAGTCTGGGGAGCATTTTTGGAGCATTGTTTGACCATTTGGGAGTATTTGTTTTGAGTTGTTTTGAAACATTCTTTCGTCGAAAATCCCCCCGGTAGGGGGAAACGCCCGACTTAGTCTGAGCTCTCCACGTCCTGGGTCTGAGATGTCGAGACCGCCCCGTGGTACCCGGGGGGAGGGGGCCTGAGGGCAGCCATGGCTGATTACCGCTGGGGGGCTTTTCGTGCGCGACCCTGGCGAAGCCTCGCCAGTCTCAGAAGGGACATGCGCGATCCCTTGAGACACGTTGAGCAGGTTGAGGGGGCGGAGGAGGAAGGAACGGTTAGGGAAGAATGGATCGAACAGGTGCAGTGAAGAGGAAGCAACATGAGAGGGACGAGGAAGAAGAGGAGGAGGATGAGGAGGAAAAAGAACAACAACATGTGGGAGGAAATGGGGAACGGAAGTGGATAACATGTTAGGAGGAGGAGGCTGGGTAGAGGTAGGATGCAGAAATGAGCAGGAGCAGGGATGGAGGAAGAGGGGGAAGGATGAGACGTTCGAGGAGGAGGGAGGAGGCGGCGGAGGAGGAGGAGGAGGCTGCCTCGGCCCTCTCAGGCGCACGTCTCGTACGGAGGCTGATGACGGGCGGCCGCCCGAACCTGCTTTGTCGAGAATCGGCGCCTGCGCTCGCATGGCGGCGTGGTGCGATGGGCGGAGACGATCCTTTTCGTTGCCTCCGTTGTCCAGTTACGCCAGTGCGCGCGTTCTGTGGACAGGGATGGAAGCAAGTTCCAGTTGCCAATTTTGGCCCGTCGTTTCCATTTTTGAAGCGGGTGCCGAAGACTTATCGCCGAGTGCCCTAGTGCCCTCTTGCGTTCCCTAATGAAGTGTCGGAAGGCGACGATCTGGAAGATTTCTGGAGCAGTCGGGATGCGGCATTAGGAGCAAGATCAATCGCCTCAGAGCGAGCATGGGACATATGGCCCTGGAATCCGTCCCAATATGTTGTGATCCGTCCCATTTTCGGTTCAATCCCCCCCCTGGTTGCGATGGAGGGGGGGTGGTCCGAAACCCTCCCCCCTGGTTGCAAAGGGCGGTGGGGTTCCGAACCCCCGCCGCGCTGCAGAATGGGGGGGTTGTCCGGACCCCTCCCCCCTCCGCACTCGCTACTGGCAAACGACGACTGAACACAGGTGCTGGAGGACAAGACGACGTGGACGATGACCACGACGACGACGTCGACGACGACGGAGGTGGTGGCGGCGGCGACAATGACGACGACAACATTGACGACGACGGACGACGAACGACGAACGACAGACGACGGACGACGGACTCGACGACGACGACGAGGACGACGACGCACGACGACGACGACGACGACGGACGACGTCGACGGACGACGGACGACGGACGACGGATGACGGACGACGGACGACGGACGGCGGACGATGGACGACGGACGACGGACGACGGACGACGGGCGACGGACAACGGACGACGGGCGACGGGGCAACGGGCAACGACGAGCGA